GGCACTGGCAGCGGCCGCGCGAGCGGCTGAGGAGTCGAGGCCGGTGTCACCGCCGTCCCCTCCCCCGCCCGGTCCGGCCGTTGCTGCCGCCTGTATGAAGCCCCCGCCGGCCACCGAACCACGTCCTTACCACGGTGTTTGTGTTTGCCGAGTTCGCCATTTCCACACACAACACAAACAAGAGGGGGGAACCCCAAGAAAACAAGATAAAAACAAAACCAAAAAAGAAAAAACAAAACCAAAACACCCGGAGGGTGACCCAAGCCACCACACGATTGGGGAAAAATTTAAAATCGGATCCTTAAGGAGTAGAGAGGGGAGCGGTGAAGAGGAGGAGGGGGCACTCTTCCCGGAGCTAAAAACCTCAAGAATCGCCTTTCAAAAAAAAAGCCACGACCCTTCGGGGGTCCGGGGGCGTTGCCCGCTCCCCACCCCGCGCGAAGGAGGGGAACCACCACCGGTCGCCGCTCCCCGCGCCGCCGCTGCCGCCACCGGCTGCAGCTCCAGCCGTCCGGTCCGCCCGCTTCTCCCCTTTATATAGCGAGTCAAGAAGCTGCGCGAGCCGCCGCCGCCGCTCCGCCGAGAGACAGGGCGGAGGAAGAGGGAGGGGCGGAAAAGGCGGGGGCAGAGGTGGGCGGGGTTGAGGGCTAGAGCCGCGTGCGCAGGCGCGCCGGGGCGGAGGCAGCCGCGGGCCGCGTCGTCACGCGCCGTGGAGGGTGCTGGGCGGGCGGAGCCCGGGGACTGGAGAAGTCGACCCGCCGCTTTCCCAAGTATCGCGTGATCACGTGGTTGGCACTCAGACGGAAGTCCTGGCAGCCCGTTTGGGATGACGAGCCTCTAGAGCAATACTGGCAAAGGCGCGGGTTCTAGTAACACTAGTGTCTAAAGCTGACTGTCTCTGCCGCATGTCAGACATTTCTGCGCCATCTCTCGCTGGAAGAGCTACAGAATGTGAAAGGGTGGTGGCAGCAGTCTCGATAGGTATGGCCGCGGAGGAGGACCGGTCACGTGGTCCGGCCCTGCCCGGCCCTTGGCGCCCCCGACTCCGGGAGCAGTTTTAAATGCGGAGTCATCTCTTCAAGCGTGAGCGGATGTCAGACTTCACGCTCCGCGGCGTTAGCGTTTCTCACCGAGGGTAGATAGACCTTATCTCTGTTGTTTTTGAAGGGGGTAAAAACATTTGGACCTAAGTGTCCAAGTTACCAAACCAGTAACTTGAAACTGGCTGAGCAATTTGTCACCGAGTCCTGTTACAAAGTTCCCAAAACTTCAGACTCTGTTAGTTAACGTGACTTCTCACGCTGGTGGAAATGCCAAAAAATGAAGTATTACTACTGAATCATGAAAGCATATTGAGTTTTCCTGATTTTTAAAAAAATAATGCTGAAAGGCTGTGACTGCACGTGGCCAACACGTAGTTCAGTTACATCTGACCTACAGGCCCTTGACCCACTAACTCATGGCTGTGCGCTGTGAGGGAGCGGGCAGAAAGTGCTTCTACCTTGGAGTGGCAGTTAACAGGCTTTTGACCTCTGCCCAAGCAAATTGTTTTTATATCAACATTCCACGCGGAACAGAGAATGCTTTGTTTATAGAGAGAAACCTCACGGTGCCTAATTTTCTTTTCTCTAGAAATTTTGAGAAACATGGAATGTAGCCTGAAGGAATGATGAGTTTATCCTCCAAAGGCAAATCAAATTAAAATGCCAAAGTTTCATGCTGACCAGATTTAAAGGCATCCTCCCAGAGGGAGGAAAAGAAGCAGCCTCCAGGACCTAAAGGAAGCCATTTGTTGTTATTGTTGTTGTGTGCTGTGGAGTTAGACCCAACTCATAGCTACCCCTCCTTGGGTTTCCGAGGTGGTATCTCTACAGAAGTAGATTGCCCAGGCTTCCTTCAGAGGAATGGCTGGTGGGTTTGAACTGCCAGTCTTCTGGTTAGCAGTCAGATGCCTTAGGCACTACACCACCAGAGCTCCCCATTAGTTACCTAGTGCTGCCATAACACAAAAACCACAAATGGGTGGCTTTAAAGAACAGATTTTCATTTTCTCACAGTTCAGGTGGCTCACAGTCCAAATTCAGGGCATGGCTCTAAGGGCAGGTCCCTCTTTGTTTCAGCTTCTATAGCTGCCAGCGATCCTTGTAGATGCACTGACTCCATCATCTGTCTTCCTCTCACCTTTTATGTGTCTGTGTCCATTCTGCTTTTTTTAATAACTCAGAAGTGATTAGATTTAGACCCCAAACTACTCTGGTGTGGCCTAATTAACGACAAAGAACCTTATTTCAAGACCCTGGGTGGCACAAGAGGAGCTCTGGTGGCATAGTGGATAAGACATATGACTATTAATCACATGATTGGTGGTTCAAACACACCAGCTGCTCCATGGAAGGAAGATGGGGCAATCTACTTCTGTAATGATTTGCCACCCCAGAAACCCATTGGGGGTGGCTATGAGTCAGAATTGACTCTGTGGAGGTGTTTGATTTGTTGTTGTTTTTAGGTGGCAAAAAAGGAGCTCTGGTGGTACAGTGGTTAAGGCATCTGGCAACTAATCCAAAAGATTGGGGATTTAACCCCAGCTGCTCTGCAAGGGAAAGATGAGGCAGTCTGCTTTTGTAAAGATGTACAGGCTTGGAAACCCTATGGGGCTATTCTACTCTGTCCTATAAGGTCACTATGAGTCAGAATTGTCTCGAGGACAGTGGATTGTTTTTGGGTTTTGGGTGGCACTGGAAAGTTGGTGGTTTGAACCCACTAGCCACTGTGCAGGAGAAAGATGTGGCAAATTGCTTCCGTAAAGATTATAGCTTTGGAAACCCTGTGGGGTAGTTCTATTCTGTCCTGTGGGGTCACTATGAACCAGAAGCCACAGCAACAGGTTTGGTACTTTGGATTGGGTGGCACAACAAACAATTTGCTCTTGTCTGCTAACCTAAAGGTTGGTGGTACAAACCCACTCAGCAGCACTGCAAAAGAAAGGCCTCATAATCATACATAAAGATAACAGTCAAAAAACCACTGTGGAGCTGTTGAACTCTGTAACGTGGGATTGCCATGAGTCAGAATCGATGGCAATGGGTGGTTTTTTTTTGTTTGTTTTTTTAAGTTTAGAGGCCAGGACTAATAAAATACATATTTTAGGGAGACTCAATTCAATCCAGTACAGGTACTCATAACCAAACCTGTTCCTTTGATTCCTACTCTAGGACAGAGTAGAAATGCCCCATAGAATTTCCAAGGCTGCAATCCTTATGACTGCTATATCGTTCTCCCTCAGAATGTCTGGTGGGTTCAAACTGCTGACCTTTCAGTTGACAGCCTAGTGCTTTGAGCACTGTGCCACCAGAGCTCCTACAACAGGTACGTTGGAGTTTATTAGGCAATTCTACCTGTTTTTACATTTTTAAATTCTCCATGTAAAAAAAAGTAAAAGCCCAATGAAACATTTTCTAATCAGTGATTGTTCTTTATGTACATGGCTTCTAGTCAAATGACTTCATCAGTATTCCCAAGAAAGTCTGGTGTTTTGTTATAAATGTAATTAATATTAAACACTGTGTTTAATTACATGGGTTTCATCTTTCTCTGATTCTTGGATCTCAGCCATGTATGCCTATTCTACAATCAACAAGTTAAGCAGCTGTGATCTGGGCCAGTTAAAAATGGTTAAATTTATAGGGTGCTTGATCAGATAGTTTATTATAAAGATTTTCTTCTAGTGCCCAAATGATCTTTGGTTTATTTGTCACCTTTATCCTCTTACTCGTAGGGCTTTAACTTGACAGAGACTTCTGATATGCCATAGAGTTCTACCTAGACAACTTTGTAATAAAATAAATCCTAGCAGATATATTAAGGAGCTCTGGTGGTGCAGTGCCTAAGGCATTTTTTGACTGCTAACCAGAAGGTTGGTGGTTCAAACTCACCAGCTACTCAGCAGAAGGAAAATGGGGCAATCTACTTCCATAAAGATTAACCACCTCGGAAAACCAATGGGGGTCGCCATGAGTTGGAAATGACTCGATAACAGTGAGGTGTTTTGTTTTGTTTTTTTTGAGCAGGGATACTAAATCTGTAGTTAGTCCACTAATGACATTTTAATAAAGAATTATTACTGAAAGTGGAACTAAATGGGCTGGTTTGAGTTCTTCTCCAGAACCTACCTTTTTCTGGTAACAGAGATTATAAGTAGCAGTAGCAAAGACTCTAAAACGAGAAGTGGTGGGAAGATTATTACAGATTTCAGACAAGAATGGAAGTAATACACCTGCTTAAATACTGAGATCTACTCTTTCCTTTCACAAAAGTAATTGTGAGAAAATCCAGGGGTGTAATCCAAATACCTTTTTGAGAACCAAGACTGGATTAATGTTTTTGATGTAATGATTATAATGATTAATGTTTTGAGCTCTAAAAAAACTCACTGCCATTGAGTTGATTCTGACTCATAGTGACCCCTGTTGGGTTTCCAAGGTGTTAAGTCTTTCAGAAGTAGATTGTCCCATCTTCCTTCGGTAGAGTGGTCGGTGGGTTTGAACCACCAACCTTCTGGTTAACAGGCAAATGTCTTAGGCACTGCACCACCAGAACTCCTTGATGTTTTTGTCTAGTTCTTTAAAAAAGAGAGAGAGAGAGATAGCCAGAAGCAAAAGGAATACGTTTAACCCCCCCTTTTTTTTTTTTTAAAAAAAAAAAAAAAAGGAGATTTCTTTTTGAAAAGTGAGAAATTTGCCATTTTGTGTTCCCTGCCTACTTGAGAAGTAATAATAATAATAATAATGGACTTACATGACAGTTCTTTGGTTTTTAAAAGGTTTTAATCACAAGTTACCTCCTTTAGAGCTTGTAACAGTCTTTTGAGATAAGTAATATTATTCCTTTTTTATGAATATGAAACTGAGATTCCAGTTAAGTAGTAACTTGATCCAAGGTCATTTTGAAATCTTACAGATAAAAGTTTAAGACTTAATATGACTATGAGACCAAAAGAACTGGAAGGTGGCTGGCTACCACTGTGAACCACCTGGAGGGGGATCGGTGCAGGATATCCTGGATAGAGTGGGAGAACAATGTGGAACAAAACTCAAAATCATAGAAAAAAGAAAGAAAGAAAGACTAGGTTTGCTGGTCTGATAGAGCCTGGTGAGACCCCTGAGCCATGGCCCTTAGTTACCCTTCAGGTCTGGAACTAAACTCACTCCTGTGCTTTCAACCAAACAACAGACAGGCACATGGGGTGAACATTTACAACAGGTAGATAAATTCCTTGGAGGGATCAATCTCTATCAAGGGAGAACAGAAGGGCTGTGTTTCCACAGGGAGATACCTCGGTGGGGGGTGAAGGGGGTAGTGCATGGGAGGGAAGGACACAGGAAAGAGGTAACTATGGAGAAGTGGAAAGAGAGCTGTCACATTGTGGAGAATTACAGTCTATGTCATGAAACAAAATGTGTATGAACTGCTATATGGAAAATGAATTTGCTTTGTAAACTTTCACCCATATCACATTAAAAATTAAAAAAAAAAAGTTTTAAGTATCAAGTTTCCACGTC